TGCTTGCTTCTCATACACCTCAACTTAATTCTAAGGCTTCCAATTTTTTTCTCTTAATGTAAAAATCTTGGATCTTAATACTGAAAACCTCTAAATTAAATATGCTCTTTGAATTGAAATCTGTCCAAAAAGTGATAATCGTTGGTTGATAATGTTCCTTTACTTTTTAAAACCATCAAAGAACACTTGTGAAGTTGCTGGATGCAAGAAAGCGGTATTTACTTTTTTAAACTTATTCATGGTCTTCGTTAGTTAGTTACATTTATTTACCAGTACATATTATAGTTTGTTTCGATTTTTTCAGCCCCTATGATTCAAGCCGTCCAGAGAAAGATTCGCAAAGATTGATAAATCAAGGCAGCATCCACCCTGCCCCTCCAGATCTTCAGTGCGGGAATTTTGATGACTTTAACAACAGAGATCTTCTATCTGATAGCAGAAACACAGGGGTCTTAGGAATGAACATCTCCCATTGGTACGGCAATGGTGGGGACTATGATCTCCAAATGAATCTCAAAGGTGTTAAGAAGCCTTTAACAAAGACGAATCTTCATTTAAGATCCTACAAGCGTGGCATAGGCCAGTGGCGTTAAGTTCAGAGGTTAACAGCTCTCCTCCCTTTAAATTACTTATCTAAAGATAATGGAAGGTTCATTTTTTTGGATCTCAAACAAGGCTAAAGTAGTTTGAGGAAGCAAATTGTACTTCTTAAGTTTTTTACATTTACTTTGATTCTGCATGTTTTCATATATGTTCTTTTAATTTAAAACTGTAATCTATAGATTCATATTGATTTGTTTGTAAATACTTTGATTTTGTACTTCAGTTTGCTGAATTATTTTTCTCTTTGACATCACATTGATTTTACGAAATACTTTCTCTAGTGAACTTAAATTTTGAACTGTAGGTAATCAATGTACATCCTACCTCCAAAATATCTTAATTTTAAGATCAGTTCATCCATGTGAAACGAAAAAAAAACATGAGAGACTTGTTCCTTGATTTTCAAGTTGATAATCTCTCTTGTTGGAAGAAAACAATTTTAGACGAAACGAAATACTCCAGCGCTGAAATTAAGGTTTAGTAGTTCTGTATTCGTCCGGCAATGCGGGCATTCTCTTCACTACTGTTGAATCAATTTATATCCCGTATTATCATATCATTTTCCTGGTCATAGAAGTCTGATCAAGAATCTTGCTCTGAAACCCTCTAACCCCCTTGCACATTACCTAGCTAATCTTTGAAATTAAGCGAAAAATCAGGGAAGTAGGAGCATTCAAGGGTTAGCCAGGTAGTGTGGGAGTGGAGGAGAAAGTATCAGTGCTTGCAATTATGTGTAGTAAGTGAAGATCAATGTCTCTTTTCGGGGAGAACAATTGAGCTATGTAACCCATAACTCTTGTAGAATTGTTCTTTTAAAAGATGAAAGAAATTCACAAATCATTTCCAAGAATTAATATTTTTTCATTTTTCTCATCAAGTGAAAAATGTTTATTGAAATTCACAAAATTTTCTATAGGAATGAAGTATGATGTGCACTTTATTGCAGTTAAAGTATGTCAACTTCACACTGTGAACTTGTGCTCTTATTTTTTCATCTAAATGCACAGTCTTTTAATAGTTTACCTATTTTATTAATCCGTTTCAATCATCGCAGCAATTTCAAACAGCTATTCAGTGTGCTACAGCACTCTAATTTACAACATTCCTGTAACTTAAGTTGGTCAAATAAAAAACTTTTTACTATAGAAATATTATTAAAGTAAACATTTTTAGGATCAAAAACTGCAATTTGCATGAACAAAGTATCCAATCTAATTCAGCTTCTGAAAATTTGATTTAAAATTTTCTCTCTATTGAGTTGTAATCAGTTCAATCAAAAAATCTTAAACTTCAAAATATCACAAATCTTTATTATTCGATTGTATTTTACATCAAATTTATAATTTTTCAATCACATCCCTTCAATTTCAATCATACTGATCTTTCAAATTTGGCGTCCAAATCCATCACGCGAATTGATTTTAATTTACTCAGCTTGTCCTTAATGAAATTTCTCTTGGTTTCGATGTTCAGAGATCAGATTTTTAAAGAATAAGCCGAATTTTTCCTTTGAACTTTGCAACATTTAATTTCTCCCTTAAACGTGTTTCTTGTTCACGTCCTTAATCATTGACATAAATTAATTTGTAATTCACTCCCTATCTTTTCACATTTATTCATTTGTTTTCGATCTGATGCCATTGTTTTAAACCACCCTGTATAAGAAAAAAAGCAGCAGTAATGCAGTTTTTACACTTTTTAAATTCCCCAATGCCTCTGGGCAATGAAAATAATTAAAGAGGAAGAGGTTGATGACTGAATTTTTCAATCCGCAAGATAACAGACATAGTTTTTTATCCAACTCCTGTAAAAACCATGCAGATTTAAAGTTTTGTATTATCTCTTATTAAACGTAGCAAGAATTATCTGCAAAGGAACCCCAAGGAAAAATAATTTTATTGCTTAAATTCAGCCAATAGAGAAATCACTATGTCCGTAGAGTCAGGTTTGTCACCGCTGAATTTAATCAGCTGTCATTTCGGTGTAATTTATCATTGTAGGTGTGGTTTTAGTTAATTTAAGAGCCAAGCCTCCCCTTCTCATCAATATTTGGATATTATCATCATTAAGTAAGATAGCAAGGCTGATTAACAACTGTACTGTACGTTACTTATTATAAGCCCTTTTCATCATGTCACAAAAGGTGTTTTAATATAAGCTTGTATATTCCTCACGATAGTTCATGAACTGCAGATAGCCGACGAGCAATGAAACCTTTGTAATCCTCGATCATTTCCAGTAGAAAACTTTGAGTTTTCAAATTTTTTCAATTCATTTGTATAGTTTGTCTCAAGATACAGCCAATAGAAAAACTGAGAGTAAAAAGCCTATAAAACCTCTGACAACAAATAGGACTTTCTAAATTCAGGAACGCTAAAGTAGACACAATTTAGCCCTGTTAATGAGCTTACTGAGGTCTACGAACTCTGTCTTTTCAGTTATGCGACTAGTATTAATATTCTGACTTTTATTATAACACCTCTCCATCATCATAATTAATTTGTAATGGAGAGAAAAGCAGAAAATTATTGTCTTACAATTAATGGTCATCAGTCGTCATTATTAATATCAGTGTGGCAGCCATCTCTGTTTTAGCAACTCTTTTGTGAATATACAAGTATTCCGAACTAATGCAGAAGAGAGAACATCTCAGTAAAATAGTTGTTCTCCTGATCCGCAAAAATTTTAAGGTTTCATGTTACCCTAAGTCTGTTAAGAACATGTAGGCTGCTCATGATCTACATTCGAAATTATTAATTGTTATCCAGTCTGCAAATTTAGAAAAAGAATGATTCACATTAAGGAGGCTTTGAAGTTTTCCTTTTTAAAAATGATAGCTTTGCTGGTCCCAAGCTTGTATGACAACTTCCCTCCCTATTCACTTTCCATTAGCTACTTACTCCCTCAAATTAGCTCTAATTTGCAGAAACTTGCTAGCCGAATGGCTCTCGTCTTAAGTAATCACTGTACTTTTGTGTAACTCTCTTCATTCAATTTAAAAAGCGGAGACGATCACTTTTTTATGGATACCTCTGACTAAGCTTTATTTGCATTAAATTGATAAGAACAGCATATAAAACAAGATTTTTAATGAAGAGAACTGCCTTTTTCTATTTGCAATTTTTCATCTTAAGAGCGAGGTGTGCTTTCAAGCAGAAAATGTATCTCTATTTTTATCACACTATCAGTACGTCTCTCATGATTACTTCTTTTGCCGTATATAATATAGCATTTTCCCAATTCCTAATATGTGTACAGAAATTACCATTATATTTGAAAATTTTTTCAAATTTTTCATCAGTCGGTATCATTGAAGTTATTGATTGTTTTCTAACTTAAGTTTCATCGTTGATTTTCCTCTTTTCTCCCAATGATTGATTTTTGTGACAATTAATTTTTGATTTTTTACAACATCAAAGCCAGGTTTTTTTCAACTCATTTCATTTATGCACCCTTTTGCTGTCTCCATTTTATGAAATCGAACAGAGCTCACATGCTGAGGCATTGACATTATTTTATATCAGCATGCAGTGAGGTAATTTTAAGACCATTTATAACTGATTTTATACGTGTAATATGGCTTTTTCTCTTAGATTAGTGCTAGATGGTGTTATATATTATTACTAATCCCATCAAAAGATGAAGTATTTTACACTTGTGCGCTGCTCTCTTTTGAGTGGATGTTTTATTTCTCAGGATAACCGGTCAATACTTCGATTTTTCAAATTTTTCAATATAATGTAGGTATTTATCGTTACTTTTATAAATTATGTACTTCTGTGAGTGTATAATTCCTCTGCAGGAAGTCTTTCAGTATTCTCCTGACAGTTCACATTTTTTCTGTTTAAAATTATGATTGTATGTATTCATTTTATGTATCAATTTATTTTATAAGCAATATTGCATGTAATTTTTAAAGTTCTGGACAATTTGTTTGAAAGTCTTAAATATACTTCTTTCTTCTTAAAGAATCTCTTTTATTTTCACAGCAAATAGCCATAAGTTTTTTCAAAAAGTTAGCTGCCTTTTTTATGAGTACCTTCACATATGAAACCGGAAGTTATGGGAAAACGAGGTCTGTGAGCTAATGAACGAAATATAGAAAATCGGAAAAATAAGAAATTCAACTCAGAATTAAATAACGGAAACTCCGATGCATTTCAGGTCTCCACGGTCCCTTATTTCATAAGTACTTTTTTTTTTTTATCCAATAGCAATAGATATTACTTACTACAGAATAATTCCCTTTGATTCTTCAAAAAAGTACCTGTTCTGGGTAAACAGCACATTTAATCTTTTTTAGAGAAATACAACAAGAATGACAAGTTATTAAACATTTACTTAATCGATTTCAACCCATAACTTTCCTGTGATCTGGTAAAAGAAGAGCTGACAAATTATTTGTTCAAATTTACATTTATTTCCTTCACAAGTATATAAAAGAAGTTTTAAAATTATTTAAGCTGCAAAAGTATAAAAAAATACAACTAGATCTTAAAGTAACATTTGGACTACATATTGCAACAAGGAACTCCTATTTCTGGTTTATCCGTAGAGGCACCTAACTGCGTGTGGGAACTTGAGGCAAATCTATTGTTTCTAATACAAGCCAGGAATGGCACCTAGATCCTTTTTGTAAATTCCTTCTGTTCATTTACAGTTATTCTACAAGTACACAGGATTAAGTCGATGACAGTCAGAAAACATCAATGCTACTAAGTCTTGAAAAGGTTCTCCCATGATAGGAAAATGTTGGCTACCTATTGATTTTATTTTGTCAAGTGTAATGTAGCATTGAAATTGAGCACTCATTAATTAACTCAACAGTACCTTTGGCAGTGAACGAAAAATTTCCTTCCTTTTATTACGATTTTCTTACATGCTCTTAACAAATTCGCAAGTCTGAATTTGATGGCTTCCCACTTGTCACCCAAAGCCAAGACTGAGTCTGAGTAATAAAAAATATTTTTTTATTAACTCAACGAGTATGAATTTCTACATACGCAACTTTTACAGTCAGTGGGGCTGAAAACCAATCGTGACTTATCCTGATACCAAGTTTTCAATAATTTTTTACAATGCACAGATCACGAATACCTCCTTCAGTTTCGCTAATTTCAGATATAAACAATCAAAATCCCTTGCTTTCAGCTTTTAGAACGGAGGAATAATTGGACTGCATTTTGCATTTTGGAACTATAAATTTTGGCTCTTCACGAAAAACACTTATGTGCATAGGAAAACTAATGGCACATACGTTGTTTTTAAACCGGGCTAGAATCTATAGATCCAAATTGCAAAATGTAGTCCAATTCAACCTTTGTCTCTAAATGCTCTGCAATGACAAAAGATTGGTGAAAGTTGAAAACATTTTATCTCAGATCGTTACAGTGCAATTTCAGCAACACTCCCTCTTAATATTTCCTCCTGTCTTGCGAAGAATATTCTGTAAAAATCCAGAAAATTATATCGGTCACTTATATTCTAAAATGATGAAAGCAGAGCTCAAATTTTGAAACTTGTCGAGGTATGTTGATCTTTCATCAGTGAAACATCCAATGGCAGTTTATGTTTGTTTTTCTTTCATTTTCATTTTAACAATCAGAGATGATAACGTTCAGGGGAGGTTTATCTGTATTCTGCATCCCTTGCAAAGTGTATAAAGGATAAAACACCATCGGTCAAGTAGATAGCTCCAGAGAATATGCAGAGAACGCCCACTGTGAGCCCTATCGTGCGTTCGGGCATTACTTTCTGGTAGTGATGCTCATTTTGGTAGCCAGACCAGTAGTGCAGTGCGATTCCGCCAACAGCGATGAATAGTATTGTCCCGACAAAGTTCATGATTATGTCCTGTTAAACAGAAACCGGGAAAAACTACTCATTCCACCGACAACATGAACAACTGACAACATGAAAAATTAGGCAAAATCAACATTTTTTCTTGTCAGATGAAAAGTGGATTTGTAAAATTACCAAATCAATGGAAAATAAGGAAAGTTTTGTTGTAATCTAGGTAACAAATCCCTAACCAGGGTGTCTTGCATCGGGATTTTCCCGATTCTATCAGGATTTGAGGTCAATCAGGACTTAATTCTGATTTCATCAGGACTTGAGGAAAAATCGGTCGTAAAATCAGGATTTGAGAAAAGCCGGCCATCCGATCCGATTTTTTTAACTATATATTTTTATGAAGTTACTTACTTACATTTCTCCACCAAAAATATGGAAAAATTGGGGAAAAAATGGAAATATGAAATCGGAATTTGCAGTCAAAAATCAGTATTTCCCATTATGGAATAAAAAAATTAGACACCCCTTGTTTACCTATTGGAGTGTATAAGAATCAATTTTTTTTAAAAATCTAATCCCCCTATTCCATCCATATTTTGAAAGGAATATTTCTCGAGGAAAAGTTATATTCTTACCACCAAAGTTTTCTTCTGCTCAGTCGTTCCAAATCCATATGAAATGAGAGTGACGATGGTGTATATTCCGAAGCCCACGAAGACGCCGGATGCTATTATTTCGGCATCTGGGTTCTTCTCTTCGTTCAGATTCCATGTTCCTCCTACTCCCAAAAAGCCTCCTCCGTAACCTGTCCGATACAGGATCAAAATGATGATGTTCAGCACCTACGCAGACAAGAAACAAAAATACTTCAATTAACGATATATCCATTATATATTTGTATAGAAAAGTGAGGCATGGAAAAAATACACACACAACATTTCCGCTGCAAATCCCAAAATAAAATTTCAAGCGCCGTGGCACGCTGCGGTGCGGCAGGCGGGCAGCCAGCGCGAAACGCGCATTGGCGCCTACAAACCTAACAGGGATACTTCACGCGTTGCGCAATGCGTGAAGTATCCCTGTTAGGTTTGTAGGCGCCAGTGCGTCGCCGCTCCGCTTAGTGTTAGGCTCTAATATTTAATCTAGCGGAGTCAGCGTTATTCAACTCATGATTTTGAAATGTTTGCACATCCTGTATGGAATGTTCTTGTTTTAATTGATGAAAAAATATGTATTATAGGAAAATATAACGTGTATTTTGTAAATATCAAGGTGGTTCCGTATCAAACTTAATGATTTCCAAAGCACACGAATTTCTACACAATTTCCTATAGCCTTTTATAATCGATGGCGAAAAAGCAACAGCCAGGCGATAAAGTGTAAAGCCGGGCTATAGGAACTATAGCCCGGCTGCATAATTTTTTATCGCTTCGTTTAGCCCGGCCGTATGATTTTCTCTGCATTCTACAGCCAGCTATATGATTTTCTGTAGCCTCCTTTAGCCGGCTATAAGAATTCCTGTGGTATTTTGAAACGCAGCTCTTATCGCCAATTTTTACCAGGGCAGCGCAACCGACGTGATGAAATGTTGAAAATTATCTGCTCACAATCAGTCTTTTATCAATGAAAATTGATCCAATAATTTTAGTAGAAACAAATACCTAGGTACGAGATGTGACCACATCCGCTTTGCCTATATGAGGAGATGAATCATTACTTAACGGGTTTTCCGGAAGTTGGCGACCGGAAGCGGAAGTTCCCTGCAGGTGGGTGAAACGACGATTCATGACTCATTGAACTGGTTACGTGGCCAGCTCATTGCAGCTCGTAGTAATGAGTTCATGAATGAAAGGGTGACGTGCAACGTGTCAGCTCGCGTGTAAATATTTTAAGGCGTTGTCTTTAGTCTCGCTCTCAAGTGTCTACGAAAATAACTACCTGTATGAGTCATCTCGCCGGCTTCGAAATAGCGCAAAAAATGGGATCCATGGAAAGGGGTCTTAGGTATGATTTGCGTAAAATACTTAGGTAGGTTCTCATGCTGCCCCTTTTTCTTTTGTTTTTTTTTACTTTATTTATTTATTTTTTAAAAAAATATAATTTACATACCTACCTAAGTATGTCACTATGTCAGAAAACTTTTGGGCAAGATGAGTTGGACGCAATAATTCAGCTCTGAACTACTACCTCAAATCACCATAAAAAAGTAATGTGGGTATATTTCTACCCCTACTTGAATCAAAACTATTTTGTCTGGGACTTCAAAACATCGAGAGCCCGATTCATCAGAGAACCAAAAATCTCCGAAAAAATCAAGGGCAGTTGTCGGGGAGTCGGGATAAACACAGGGATTTCAAAAAGCGATTTTCCCTCAAAAATCAGGTAGAATGATACGTACTTTTATTTTTGAAAAAAAAAAAAAAAAAAAATTGCCAGAGCCCTTAATTGTTGGAACTCGGAAATATGAACTTTTGGAACTATAATCATGTGTGTGTCATTCTCCCGCGACACATCTATGCTCATTGAATACCTACATAATCAAATTGATGTATGGAATAAAGTTGATAGAAACTCGGGAAGGAAAGAAAAGAATGAAAAATGAGTCACGGGCTAATGCTTATTTACTCAGAATAATAATTTCCATTGGCCCTGCTACTTACAGAAGTATGACGGCAACACTTGGCGTACAGTGGAACGAGTCAATCAGAGAGGTCGGACATGAAATTTTTGACTAAAACTGCAAATTTTGATGCTCATTTCGTCACATTTTAAATTTCAATGGGTGCCTCTAGAAGGAATTTACGCGAGGAAACCAATGGAACCACTTTTAGAACCTCAAAGTTTTGTATGAACGGAGTTATAAGCGTTTAAAGTTTCCAAATTTTGTCCGACCTCTCCAATTGACTAGATCCACTGTGTGGCGTAAGTCTAGGTGAGTATTTCCTGTGAGCTTGGAACTTGGAGCTTTTTGTTTACTCGCGTGTCCGGGCCGGGTATCTTATCAGCGCAGGGCTGCCGAATCGTACCGACTTAAAGTCGACTTTCACTCAATGAAACAGGGTTTGAGTCAGATTCATTTGCGCAAAAAACCGGCAACATAGCATGAGCTGTTTGCACCGAAGACGCTTCGTTCCAGATCAATGAGTAATGACTAATAATGACTTTTTGGTGGGAACCCTTCTCGTGTACCCAAATATGCACCTGTAGTATTTTGCATAAGCTCGTATATTTGGAAAAGTATGCTTTTATATGTTGTTTTCTTTACAAAACGATGGTGAATTTATGAAAAACATGCCAATATCCTCGTTGCATGATTTCTCTTAGGTGGCGGCTGCGGGAGGGGGGCTAGTTTCGCGGAAAAAATTAAATTGCTGATTTCACAATTTTGTAGTTTAAAAAAGTGACTGGCACGTTTCAGTCGTTTTAATGTAGATTTTACAGTGAAAAATGCTAATTTATTATTTTTTTAAATTTATTATCGCTGAATATATATAATAAATTAGCTTTCTACTATTGTAAATTATACATTTGAAACAGGCTAGTCACTTTTTTTAACAATTGAATTGTCAAATCAGCAATCCATTTTTTCCGTAAACTCTTATGATAGGATGATTACCTAATGGTCTGTTTATCGGAGGGGCTTAAATGTGCGTTATCGGTGCGTCTCAAAGGGAAGGAAGGGTAGACAAACTAGAAATACCGCATTGCGTAGTACTTGAGCGGGCTTCTATTTGCTCGCCTACGCGGGTATGCGTTCAATTTTGAAAACAAATGTTTGTGAAAGGTTGAGAGTTTGATTCTATGTATAGGTATGTCTTATGCATTAAGCACGGGATAAATTTATGAAAATATGACCGTCTGTAATGGCAAGTCCATGTAGATATACACTGTTTTTTTGGATAACGTGCGTCCAATTTCATACTTGTGCGTTATGTCGCGTCGGAGGTTGTTTAAAGATATCGCATGGCCCAAAAGGTGTCATAAAGATGTGTTGAAGATGACCCCCCTCTCTCTCTTCCTCGCCTATCGTGTGTTGCCCTGCGCGTTTCCGGTTCAAGGTATAAGAAAAGCTAGAGTGCCTTCATTTTTAAGGATCTGCAACACGGGCAGCCTTTGAGCGGGTACCTATAGTTGCCGCTCAGCCGAGACTCTTAAGGAAGAGGCCTCAATCTTCTACCATTTGAAAATTAACCGCGATTAAATTTCTTTTTCTTTTGATGGATGAAAAACTAACATGAGACCAACTTAATTTTATATTAGCAGCTTGGTTCCAAAACAATGATGTGAACAATCGTGGGTGTAAGTTCAAAAAATACATATCTTGGTTTGAGACCTCGCAGATTCCCCCGCATATTTCATTTTTTAAGAAGAAAATATGATCAGCATTTTTCTGCGAAATTCGTCATTATCTTTTTTCTTTCTTTTTTTCTCATTTTAGGTACAAAAAATATTCCTCATCAAGTTCAGACGACATAGCCGCTAAAGTTGTAAGAACCCTAGACGGATACGCCTTTTTTGGATATCAATAAGCGATTTGTGCCCCACCTTACTAGTACCTTGATACCCTTAGTAGTTTCTTACACCCTGATAGTAAAGTAGCCGCACCTCAACCACCCCCACAATGTCCAAAACTATTATGTAACCTTAGGGAGTGCGTTTTCCGCGGTGGTGAATTTCTTATACCTCTTGCTCACTCGAGAGCTTTATTCCCGCAAAAAATGCTACTTAGGGCAAGCACGTTTCACATCGTGAAAATAACATTTTTCGCAATTGGCTTTGCATATCCTAAAAGTGCCTTGGCGTGCGACACAAAAGAAGAATTTCACTTACCAATTTCACAACTTTGATGACAATCGTCGCAATCGTAGCTATGCTCACCATCTTGATTTAAGTTTGGTTTTTTTTATACGGTGACACTAAAAAAATAATGAAAACGTTCTTAAACCGGGGTTGAAACCACAACACTCGGGAAAAAAGGAACCAAATTATTTGTATCTAAAAAAAAAAAACGATCTCTGCACTTTCGCGAATGAATCAACCACGCGAGAAAATTCAACTCTGGCGTTTAATTTTTGCGATTTTAAAAGCTCTAGCGAGAAAACGTAGGATTTTTCCGGGGAAAATTCGCGTTTACCCTGTTGATTCTTCAAAGAGTGAAGGTTTTCGGGTGGCACCTGTTTCGCAGTCGAGGGCGCGGGCGAAACTCTTGAGCGTGTTTGAAGGATCGCGCATTCGAGCTAAGCCCTCAAAAGATAGGGCCGAAATCTTGAGATAAAGCGATCGGAACTTACAGGTGTGTTCGTTCGGGTTATGAAATATTTTCTCATTTTTTATTGTATGCGTCCGGAACTCGTTCGCTTGCACCTTCGCAGGATGAGTCGCATTGTTGCCTCCGTGAGATTCCGAGCGTGAGCGTCCTGCTCTCAGGGTTTTTTTCTCTCAAAAGGGATAAAAGTGGCAAATTTTTTAGATTAAATCAATTTCAGAGAATTATATTTTCAAATACATTGTCATTAAAACAGGGTTTCCACGATCAGGAAATACCGGGAAATGTCAGGGAATTTTAAAAAGTGTAGGAAAACCTGGAAATTTCAGGGGAAATGACGCGCGCAAGTGTCTGGGAAAATGTGTTAAGTATCACCTTTATTTGCTTTCCAGAATGGGGTTGATATTCCGAACTTCGGGGTTCTGCGTGAAAACTATTTTAAATTACGTCTCTTAAGGTGAGACTGTACACCCAAAATCAAAAAAAATGACATTTTGGTTTTATAATATATTCTTGAACAGCTTGCTTTGCTGATTAAAATGGTATATAACATGCTATACTTTCCTTTTTCGGTCTATTTTTTGTGCTTCTTCAAATATTGCATGCAATATTGCAAATTGCAATATTGCAAATATGCAATATTATATATATATAATATATATATATATTATTATTATATATTATATTATTATATTGCAATATTGCAATATTGGCTGCAAAAGAAAACTGGAGGATGAGGAAGAGTTCTATAAAGCAGGAGCTTTTGAGTAAATATGTGAGTGATTTTATTTTCTTCAAAATACTTACTGGAACAATGCTACTTTTTTTTCTATTTTTACTGTTTCCGAAAGTTTGGTTTTTTTAACTAAATGACCCTTTATCTCAGGAACTAGAAGAGATATCTTCATAAACTTTTTTTTGATCTGTTCACAAGAGTAAGGAGCATAAGTGGAACTAGGATTTTGTGTGTAACTCAACTCAACTTTTTTCAAAATATTCCTAAAGCTAAAAAAGCAGGGGTTTTTTTAAACAAACTTTGAACTTTCAAAAAAGTTCACTTTCTATGTCAGTAAAGTCTTAATCCTAGTACCAGTGCTGCACCACCTCATAAAGAATACACTCAAAAAATTTCAGACTGATAGCTTTAACAGTTCCTGAGAAAAAGGGTCATTTGTATGAGCATATTTTACATGAGTTTAAATGGAGTGTACAGTCTCACCTTAAGTTGTTACTTATAAAAAATATGTCTTAGGTCAAAAATATGTTTACTACAGATTTCAAACGGGCGCGTCATTTATGGATGACACCCCCCCCCCTCCCGATGCACCTCAAAGTTGAATTTTTTGGGGGAAATTTTGGTCCTCCTCCCTCAAGTAAATGTTTGCCTCTCTTAAACAAATGCCCAAAATGGTTGAAATTTATTACTCCTGAAATCGGAACATTTCTGGGTGACGAGCCTTCAGGTTCATCTCAGACCCACAAATTTTTGACTGAACTCACTGTAGGGAGCAATGGTAGATGTTAAAATGAGAAAGTTTCGGTGAAGGAGAGCTCCGTTGTGTACTATTCTCTCATTCCTACTCCCGCATTGCGACATCGCGGATGCGTAAGTCTTGTCTCGAGTGGCCCTATAGTAAATGAACTGGAATCGCAGCGTTGCGAAACTTATTTCCGGCGACTAATAATGCAATGATGTCTTGCGTAGCAGCTGTCGAGGCATATAACAGGCATGTACTAGGAGAGAACCTCAAAAGTATGTTGCAACAATGTAGTTATCATCGTGATTACTGTAGAAGAACATGGTGAAAAAACATTTAAAAGAATGTTCGAGGCGGTAATTTAAGGCTGAGGGAAAAAAGGAAGGTCCCATAAGACGAATAGGTAAGATACTTAGCAAATCTAAAAAATTGAATTTCGCGTCGCTAGTTCAAGCAATACAGATAAGGTCTTCGAATTCTTATTATTGTTCTTTATCTGGCTGCCGCTAGGCAGTTTTTTTCAGCAACCTCCCACACAACGCACATCTGAACGAAGAAAAAAAACCCCAAACTAAGCACCATAAGCGTAGCCAGTGGGATCCCGGGGGACGAGCCCTCCAAAAGGCCTTCCCTAGAAACTGTGAAGGATGAATTATGAATTTTCTACCCGGGGCGAGATTGATTTAGGCGTTCTGCGAGGGGAGGGGAGGGAGTTTAAGTTTAGGGACGGCTGCGATAGGGTTGCGCGAATGCCCCCATTTTTTATCTTTTTGGAGATGTATAGGATTGCGCGAATTTTTCTGGTACTGAAAACTCATATGTTTGCGAGAATATTCAATATTCAACGAGAAAGCGTTAATCTGACAACCTTGGTAGTTTTTGGTAGATAACTATATCGCAAAAGACTGTTCATCCCCTCCTCAACTGCGTGCATGTCTCTCTTCAATGGATAGCCCTCGCAGTACGAATAGCCCAGAGAGCTTTCATAGACATTTATAAAGTGAACTAAGGGCCTATGACCGCTACGCGGCCGCCAACCACTGGAAAAAAGTACAATAAGAAAATCGTAGAACAGCCACGTTCAAGTTTTTTAAGAGCTGAATGGATTCAAAACCCGACGGGTGCACCCGGAAGAAAACGTTGCACCCGGATCTCTGATTGCAACGTTATGCACCACTTTTATGTTTTATTTTTAATAAACGTTTTTAAAAGTTCCACACAGTTTTTCCGAGAAGTTTCCGCGAATTTCCCGAAATTATCTCAAATACTAGTATCGAAAATTTCGACGCGTTATTTTAGTACGTTATATTTTCTTTTAATGGGACCAAAAGAAATTAACTATCATCCGAGTTTCCGAATCGTAACAATGAGGATACATTTGCTTTATTTCATTATAGTAATAACTGGAGCAGGAAGTCAAAAGAGATGACACGCAGTCCTAAAGCATTAGCATTTCTACAGTCTTGTAGGCGCTAATATTCATTTCACGCCAACTGACCGACTGCACTGCGTTTGGTGCAATGCGAGAAGTATTCAGGCAGTCTTGCAGGCGCTGGTATAGGCTGAACCCCGACCGCGTCGTTTGGCGCAGTGCGTGAAGTACTTCGAGAGTCTTGCAGGCGCCGGCCGTTAAAGTTTAACGCCGACCGCACTGTGTTTGGCGCGATTATGCGAACCCGCGTCACAATAATCGCGACATCGAATGGTAGAGCTTGAAAGGCCCATGTTGTGTTTCGACGCCGTACGAGCATTCCAACGATTCCTCATCTCTCCTGATTAAATATTTTTTCCGAGAAAAGTTAGGAAAGTTCTTTATGTCCATACTATCATTATTCAACCATCTCACTTCATGTATCATCAGACGGTTGAATGAAAGGTCGAGGCGAACCCTGGGTGAACAGTATCTGCCAAGGTAGTTTTAGGTACGCATGTTCCCACCATCGATATCCTACATATCGACGGTGAAACTACCAAACCACGTATCTCGGTTTGCGACGTCGCAGACTTCCTGTCATACTTTATTTTTTAAATGAAAAGCTACTTAACATCCAGTCTTGAAAATTTCTGTGATTTTTCCTCTTTGTGCGGAGAAAATTCCGTGAAAATTTCAAGGAATGATATTGATTTGGTCTACTTCAAAAAAATAAAATGTGAGCGTAGATTTTTAAACACCGCAAACGAGATACGTGGTTTGGTAGTTTCACCGTCGATATTACATCTTTAGGTCATGCTCTAAGCAATGGTTAGGTATGCTTCATTTTATTTCCGCACGCTGACTATTTCATGCTACATTTTGATTGACAAGTGTGTGCTCGTGTTTCAGCAAGCTGGCTTGAAGATCACGGACGCGCAAATCGAGGAGTTGAAGAAGAACATCGAGAACGTGGACTTCAAGGCTGCCGCTGAGGAGGAGAAAAAAACGCGCCACGACGTCATGGCTCACGTCCACGTCCTGGCGCACCAGTGCCCGACCGCAGCCCCTATCATTCACCTGGGGGCTACCTCCTGCTATGTCGGAGATAACACGGTACGTGAATAAGCTCCAAGGCTCGCTACAAATGCAGGGCTTCGGATAGGTCATTGGAAGTCATTTGTTAATCATATGAGGACTTATCTGTAACAATAGCGGATGTGAAACATTTCCTCTTCGAAACATGCTTAAAAAACTGTTTTTTTCACACAAAAATTGAATATGTTTGGCTCTGGCATAATGTACAGATCCCGAAGATCACATCTCAAGTATTTACTCAAAATTTTCTCGATGCCAAAACAGTTTTTTGAATGTGTTTCGGAAAGGTAATTTTTCAAATCCGCTATTGTTACTGATAAGTCCTTATATAGGGTGGGGGCGTCTGGTCTAGCTTGGTGTTCTGGGGGAAGGGGGGGGGGATTTTAACGCTGGGCGACGTAATTTACGGTGCGAAGCCCCAATTTTTCGGAAGCTTGTCTGACATTTTGGTAAAAATATCGACAGTGAATTCCAATGTTTTGGTTGCCGTTCAAGTATTACGGAGCGCACTTTTTCGATTTTTGACACCCCCCCCCCCCTTGTGACGTTTTTTTTGAGGGGGGGGGGCGCGCTACAATGTGTCAGTACATTTTTTCAATTTTTATCGAGAGAAAAAAGAGACATGAACCATAAATATTATTGATAAAAATTATCAAAACTAAATTAAGTACGTCCGTTTCATCTAACGTCCCTGTATGTTTTTATTTGAACAGGATTTAATCATTCTTCGCGATGGATTTGATATACTCTTACCAAAATTAGCAACTTGTATAAGCAAAATGGCAAAATTCGCTCACGAGTATCGAAGTCTTCCGACTCTAGGATACACCCATCTGCAGTAAGTTTCTTTTCGCTTCCTTATTTTACTCACCTCATTTAGGTAGACATCGGACTATCTTCAGTACCTCTAGCTTGCCCTATTCGTAAAATAAATCCCTGACTAACCATCAGAGACTGATTAGCCTGAAGAGCCGGAGGGGAGGACAGGGCTGGATTTAGGGGGTGGCCACATGAGCCGCGGCCCATGGCGGCAAATTTAGGGGGCGGCAAATTTTGCAGTATTTTTAAATGTAGCTATAAATAAAAATCGGAACCAGAAAAAAGATTAGGTACAAACGAGAAAAGGTGACAAAATCTCTCATTTCCTGAGAGTATAATTCTAATTTAGTCGTCTCTCTGTGATACAATAGACAGCACCTTTAATTAGTTGAGTTAAGACTAAGAGAGAAACCGAACACGGAATTTGGTCTGGAATGGCGCGACGCAGAGAGCAATGATGACGAGAACTTGAGATGAAACGGAGAAACCGTCGGCGCGGCGCGGCGGTCGGAATGTAACACATATTAGCGCCTTCAAGACTGCATGAATACTTCACGCATTGCGTCAAAGACAGTGCGGTCCGCAGCGGGCGGCGTGAAACGCATAGCGCCTACAAGACTGCATGAATACTTCATGCATTGCGTCAAACCACACACAAGACTGAAGGAATACTTCACGCATTGCGCCAAACACAGAGCGGTCAGCGCGGCGCGGCGGCGGAAGTTAAAATTATTAAACCACATTTATGTTTGTTCTATCATTATTTTTACGTTCATTTCATATAAATGGAAGGCCTTGTCCACACAGAGATAGGTTTATGGAACATAACTTCCGCACTAAGTTCCGTGAACTTTTGCTAGTATATTGTTGACAGGGCTCTCGCAAAATATGTGTCCAACACGAGTAAACGCGTCTTATGAACCCCTCCCCCTCCAGCACGTTCACTTGATGGTTCTTATTGATGTTTCAAAACGAACGAGAAGGGGGCGGCAAAATACAGGCGGCCCATGGGCGGCAAGTAGGTAAATCCGGCCCTGGGAGAGGAGGGGGATTGCGTCCTAAACTTTGGCCAAAAAGGCTTCACAGGGGCCCTTTTTCGCAGACTCTTGGGGCTTTATTCGGCACTTATCATAGAATCTCGTAGAGCCTCTCAATTAAGCTCTTTTGAACGTTCCTTCCCCTCCTTTTTATCAGACCCATATTTTTCTTCTTGGCGGGACACCCCCCCCCCCCCTTCGAAAATTCGGAGCCAGTCCGCCGTGCGGATCGCCATTCATTTTACGTTCTGCTTACAATTTGGTTTTTTTTTGTCTTCTAGGCCTGCTCAGCTAACTACAGTTGGCAAGAGAGCTTGTCTTTGGCTTCAAGATTTACTGATGGACGAAAGAGCAATAAGTCAAGCACGCAATAATTTGAGATTCAGAGGAGTCAAAGGAACGACTGGCACGCAAGCTTCTTTCCTTGAGCTTTTTGAAGGTACTGAAATTGTAGATTACATTTTTCAAAAGACCTGTAAGAGGAGGAAATGAAGCGATGTTATGTCTTTTGAATTTGGTGTGTTTCTGGAACTCAGACACAGCTTTGCGCACTTGATGTTTTGAGTAGGTGGAGGTAGCCAATGGACAAAAAATTTAATCACTCATGGGAATTACATAATTTTTTTCAACATATTCACGTCCTTCAAACCAATTTTCTTTCTTTTCAAGTTTTCTGTTTTGAGGAACTTCAATTGTTTGCCTTCAAATAAATATTGAGTTGAAAGTAGTACCAGTTAAGTTTTGAATTTTTAACTTTTTATGAATTTTCAGTCTTTTGTTTCGATTTCAGGCGATCACAGCAAGGTAGAATTAGTTGATGAACTGGTCACCAAGAAAGCTGGTTTTCACTCGGCGTACATAATTTGCGGCCAAACGTACACGCGAAAGGTTGATGCAGAATGCATTGCTGTGTTGAGTGGACTGGGATCAACACTTCACAAGGTTCATGTTTACTCTCTGTCTTATTTTATCGGATTCTTCCCCATAAAATGTTTGATATACCTAATTATACTTCTCTTGAAAATTTAGTTACTGGCTTTTAGGCTAAATACTTGATGCTTTAGGTAAATAAAAAAAGTTTGGGGAAGAGAAGCTTTGTATGCGACCTTTTCTTCAATTGCTTGACTGTCCTCGACTTTACTCACAGTCAGTTTCTTCCCAGACATTGCCCTTTTGATAAAGGTAGCTATATCTTTTAAAAAGTTAAACTGGAAGTAGAGCTGAAGCTGATATTATGTAGCTCATAGCAAAAAATTTCCTTTTTAAATTTTGCCATATTTTTCTTGAATTAAGAATCACATTCTCTTAAATCTTAGATCTACTCTGGTCATTTGAATTACTGTGGGATTCATGAATCAAACAAAGAAATTATTTGAGAGTAATCCCTCCACTTCGTCTGTTTAACAGATTTGCTCAGATCTTCGTTTATTGGCTAACAAGAAGGAAATTGAGGAACCCTTTGAGAAGACTCAAATTGGATCCAGTGCAATGGCCTACAAACGAAATCCCATGAGAAGCGAGAGGTGCTGTGCCATTGCACGTTATTTGATGAATCTTTCTGCAAACACTCTTCACACAGCAGCAGTACAGTGGATGGAACGCACCCTTGATGATAGTGCCATCAGGTAGAATTTCATTATTCTCTTATTTTCTTGCTCATTCATATTCAGCTTATACTAAACTTTTTAATCAGAAAGTAGGTATGCAGTTAGACTGAGTTTCTAACAGTTCACATAAGCACATATTGTAAACAGCTGACAAGCCTGATTTAACTTTAAGAAGCTGTACCTAAACAACGTCGTCAAATATAATTAAATAAACTCCTAGGATTGCAATTGAAAGCATCGGTAGATGAAAGTTCCCCAGAAAAAAGACCCAAGTATTTGTCATCAGTTCATCAGTGAAGTTAATTTTTTTTTTGATAATAAGTATATTGATGATTATTATTCAATTAATTTCTTTCAGAGTCAATAATACTTTATTCCTTTTTTAAAAAGTGGAAACTTCGAAGTGAGTTTAGTAGAAGTAATGATCTACAGGAACTCATCTTAAGCTTTCTTATTTTCAGACGTTTGACGCTTTCTGAAGCATTCCTGAGTGCTGACTGCATTCTCATTACACTTCAAAACATTTGTGAAGGCCTTGTTGTTTACGATAAAGTCATCAGAAGGCACATAGATGAGGAATTACCTTTTATGGCAACTGAAAATATCATTATGGCCATGGTTAAAGCAGGTGCTGATCGACAGGTACTGTTGCCACTCTATCTTTTTTGCTTTGTAATACTTATCTATTTTTTATGTTTTCTTTGAACAGCTTTTAGAGAGCAAGTACCTATTGTCATAAATTTTTCGTAAGACTAAAATTGTTGCAGGTGTTTCGTAAAGTATCAAATCTTTCTTATCTGCTTTTCAGGATCAAAATTTTAAGAAACATCTATTTGCACCTTTATGTATTCCCAGTAATTTATGGTTCAAGCAATTTCAGTAGTATTAAGTTAATCACTTTTTTGCGGAACTTATAAAGACTTATTATAAATTGCCTACTTCTCCAGACTAATTTTTCACATTAATTTTCTCTTGTTTTTTCATCGACTATTCTTCTAATTGCTGTTCTGTAATAAACTACATTCTACACTGTGTGACTCAACAAACATTACTCTTACCCTCTGAAGTAGACTCAAAGAGAATTGTCCTTATTGAATACTGGAAAGAAAATTTGACTCAACAAGATTGACCCTTATAGTCAGCTGTGACAAACCCTTCTCTTATGAATTTTTTCAGGATTGTCATGAAAAGATTCGAGTCCTATCTCAAGAGGCTGCAGCTGAGGTTAAGTTGAAGGGCCTAAACAATGATCTCATGGATCGAATTCGCAATGACAAATATTTTGATCCCGTTAAAAATCAGCTGAATAACCTCTTAGCACCGGACGCCTATATTGGAAGAGCACCCCAACAGGTTTGTTCCTTTTCTTTTCTTTTTTTTTTTGCAACACTCCTGGAGCCTCAGACAATAATATTTTTACGTAATGCCACTGGGAATTCTTTTGAAAAACAACCTAAGAAGGATGAGATGTCTAGTAAATAGAAAATAGGGTTTTAAGGTGTGTTGAATTTCTGGCTAAAATCTCAATTTCCAGGAATTCATGACAGAAAAACATACGCAAATGCACATTTTCCCAGAAATCGCTTACATTTTGAAGAGCCACCAGGAACATGTCTCATAACTTTCCCGAAAATACCTGAGATCCCATCCATTGGCATGGGCACCTAACTATCCCGGAAACTTTAATCCTTAATTGGATACCCACTACTTGAAATGTCTCCCGAAATTTTAATATTAGTTATGAGAAGCTCTATCAAAGTCAACTTAATAGTCTCCCGAAAAAAAGAATGAGGTTCATAGTGAAGAATCACTTAATGGAGGTGCATACATTCTTTGAATTTAAGAGGAATGAACATATGCCTTTTTCCTCCTATAAGCTCCAGTGAGAGTAGAATCTTTAATATTTAGAGAAGTGTTGCTAGAGTTGAAAATAAACAGCTACTCCTTCTCGACAGTCTGTGGTCATAACCTTTGGTTGAGTAAAAAAATGGTGCACTGATTAACTTTTGTATATTCCAGGTTGAAAAGTTTATCAACCAGGAAGTGAACCCTGTCCTGAAGAAATACGAGGGCAAACTGGTTGAGTCTGCAGAGCTGAACTTGTAATCCTTTATGCATTTAAGAAAATATTTCCTTATTTAAAGCTTTCAAACTCAAAGTTTCTGCCAGTCAGAAGTGCACTTTCAATTTAGAAAAAAATGTGTCATTTTTAGCACTTTTTGCTCAATCATCAAACACCTCAACTCAGTAAAGGAGGAAGTTCCTCGCAGCTAAATTCATGTACCTTTGCGAAGTATTTCAATCATATAATTCAGTTGTTTACATTTTATCAATATTATATTCTGTGATTGTAGCTAAAGTAGCAAACTCTCAATTGTGCCTTTTATGTTTTTAGAGTTTTATTGTTGTTTTTAATCATTGCTTAACTAATTCTTAGATTGTTTTCGATTATTGTTAAATCTTTTTGATTAAAAACACTACCTCTTTACCATTCCTTTTGGGTTTTTTTTTACATCTTTTGAAGTATGTAGTATAATTGGAATATCATTTTTAATTGTGTCAATAACCTAGATTGCACGATCAAACTGAAATTATCAAATTAGCGAGGTCACTGTCCAGTGGGTTTTCACATGCCCATCAAAGATCAGTGTGCTCTTAAATTACTGCGGCCGTTTGTAATGGCAAACTGATCTTTGATTGGTATTCACAGAACTAATCAGAACCCTTGCCAGATTGATAGTTCAGTTTGATCGGGTGACCCATGCTAATTTAAACAGCACTAAACATCAGATCAAAAAGTGACAAAATGATGCTTGATCAGTTTATTTTAAATAAATTTAGTACATGGAGCACAATTTTTAGTAAAAATTTTCACAGAAGATAAGCCCAGCAAAAGCATTTAATTCAATTTCACAAGTTCTAAAAGTACATGTATTATTTTTTAAAGTATTTCTCTTGATGATGTCCCGATGAAAGGAAAAAAACTGCATAGTCATATTTTCCATAAACTAGAGGCATTCGGTGCTTTCAAACGATGAAATTAAAAAATTGTAAAAAATGAGCACATTTAATTAATTCGCTTTGAGAAGTATTCAAATCTTGTAATATGCGAAGACTTGTAATTTTTGACTTAGGACAATGTCATATTGCCAACGTCAAAACTTTTTTAATTACTTAAGAGTTGCATATTAATACTCAAAGAATTGATGAGAGGTAACCGTCAAGAGAATGTTTGAGAGCTAATCAATTTAGGCTATGATATAGAACTTAAAGTCGAAGAACTTGCTTTATTGTCCACTGTCTATGAACTTGTCTATTGTTCTTTTGTAAGATATTTTTCAATGGACCACTAGACAAGGTACGAATTTAAGCATTCTAATACATGTTTATTAACCAGAATCTCACGTAGAACACGATTCGTGCAACGAAAATTACTGAAATAAACTTCTAACGAAGATATTTACTTTTAATTTCACATTGGCCACGAGGAATTTGAACTGCCCGCTCACAAGAAACTCAAAGCTCTACGTGAGTCAAATCGTGCATTACAACGGTTTCAGCAAGCTCCTCAATCGAGCAATGTTTATTTCCCACCATGTGTTGTTCAAACTATAAGCAACTTGCTATAGCTGAGCCAAAGTGTCAAGATTGAGGTTGCCAGATTTTTATATTGCAGAGACTGTCATGATAACGCTCAGCGCGCGATGTGAGTCACGTAGAACATTGAGTTTTCATGAGCAGTTGGTTTGAATTTGCGCATCAAGAATCATTAAGTATCTTCGTAAGGAGTCAATTTTGGTAATTTTTGTAGTGCGCATCGTGTTTTACGTGAAATTTTGGTTAAGAAAAATGTACCAGAATGCTGAAATTCGTACCTTGTCTAGTGGTCCATTATAAAATATTTACACAATGGTAAGCTTTACGAGTCAGCACAAAGCAGTTATGGAATCCTGGGGAGAGCTAAAAAAAGCTCAATAAAATAAAAGTTTGATCATCTAAATTTTCCCAAAGGACTTCTTTCCAGAATGATTATGCTGCTGAATAAAGACCATCCTGATCAACATTGTCAATATTAAAAACCAGTCATAAAAGACCTCATGGAAAAATCAAAAAAATCAAAATGGAATCATTAAAAAATTAATTTTGGTCAGTTTGGTACGTGTTGACAAAGCATCAGCTGGGGTTCTCACTTGTTTGTTCATTTAGTGTTAAACTGTTGAAATTTCTGAGGTCTTCCAAAATTTTTTTGTCCCGAAAATTCTGCACTGACAGCTTCTCTGCCAAAACATTAGGTTCTAAACTTCCAACACTTTTTAAAACATCTGAAAAGAGAGAAAAAGAACAATAGAGAAAATGGTATGTCCAAGGAAAATATTCTACCTAACTTTTCGAGAAATTCTTTTCGGAAAATAAGAAGGTAAACACACACTTTAAAGTATATAAATTGTTCGACTTAATTTGATGGAGAAGCGACCACATCAGACTTCCTAATTGTTAATCTGTTGATTAGAAATCATAGACTTACTCTTCTACCCGGCTTCCTTGCATTGATGATATGGCCTTGGCTAAGCTATCACTTATGTGCTGGTTGATGCCTATAAAGTTGCTTTTCTACTTAATTTGTGAAACTGCACTTCGTGATAAGGTCAAACATAATTGTTTTTGTTGCATTCTTTTATCAAAGAAATAGTTGCAGAGGAGAAAATATGGATAGTAATTTTCGTCATGTTGGGTTGAAAAATGGGAATTTGAATTTTCAACTAATAATCTTCTCTACTATCCTAGAAAGAGAGACAGGAATTAGAAAAAACTTTTCCTTATAAACATGTTTTGAGCTGCAAACTTTCAACTGTAACAACTTTAGTTCGATTTGAAAGTTTTGGGTGTTTGTTTTGCCAAGATGTCCATAATACATTTCTTGAGCAGTGGTACCAATGTCTTGCATTGATTTATTTGGTACCAAGGGCCTTGCATATCAGAAAAAACATTCTCCCACCATTTATTCATGAAGTCAAGCATATTCATAATTTGTGCGAAACCACATATCTCTGTTTGCAACAGGCCCACTTTTTTCTTAGGAAAATTAGCCAGCGCAATTTCTTAAAAAGTTCCTTGATTTTTCCTCTCCACTAGCAAAATAATCTGTATATTCAAGAATCGTGGGTACATGATGGTATACAAAGAGATACTTACCTAACACAATTTGTTGAAACTTTGGGTCCATGTCGTCTAAGTGAATGAGTAATGTTTTGTAGATGAATTCAAAATGATTCTTTGAAGAGCTCATGTCATAATCTGCGGGAAGTGGTGTTTGGAATAAAACAGAAATACAGTTTGCAGCTTTTTCTCGAACTTGGTCATTCGCATCGTCCAGTCGTTTCAAAATTTCTGAGATAAGAGGAGAAAAATATGTTAATGGGAAAGATACATTCAGTAAGGTGGCAAAGGAAATATTCATAATATTGTGAATGACGAGTGAATTTGCCAGCTGCTAAAAATACTAAAATATTAGATTTTTTAGTTTATTTTGAAAATTTTATACAATGTTCCTAGAAAAATATGTTTAATGAACACTATTGTGACAGTTTTAGAAAATACCACATTAATTTCTATGCCAATGAGTTAATGATTTTTGTGCAATAAAAGATCTGAATTTTTTTTTTGGGGGGGGGAAGGGGGGGCAAGAAAAAGACAAAGCAACCTGAAACCATCAATTGTATCCACTCATTACCCAGAAAATAACGAAAGTTACAGGTACCGTGGTTCATCCTACTCCCCGGGTGCTGATGACTTTTACCACCATTTTGATTTCTGTATTTACCTTCAAAGCTAAACTAACGATGGCAGATCTTCTGGTGTGCTGCAGAGTTGCTGAAACTTATGTGGCGGGTACTTTATGAAAATGGAAACTTCCTTGGATACTTAGCAGCTGATGGCACTTAATAATGTTTTAAATTTTCTTATTTTGGAACTTGACATCTCACCGCTATATTTTTCATACAAGTAGATAGAGTGATTGAAAATAGTTCAAAAATTAGCAAAGGAAAGGGTCGTGGAAATTATGGGGGTTCTGATGTTAAAATGATACTTCTGATTGGTGTCTTTCTCTTACCAGGATAAATTTTATTGATGGTTTCAGCAGTTAAGCTCCCAGACTCTCTTTCCATGTCGACAAGTTCACAGATGGAGGAGAGAGCGTACAATCTTGTTTTGTATGCTTGATCCTCTATTAAGCTTAGTACAATTGGGGTGATCTGGAACCAAATTTAAGAAATGACAAGTGAAGTTAAAAGGTTGCAAGTGAAGTCAGAGAGAAAGAATTTAATTCATCTACAGTGACCAGTAAATACACATTACAAGAGCTAAGTGCACAATGAGCCTGTTGCAAACTTTTGCTAGAGCAGAATGAGGAGTTGTTTCCTATAGATAATGCCTCAAAAATCACGATGAGCGCATCGGCAAAGTCTGAAATGCACTTATAAATTCACAATCTGCGTAAGAAATTTGCGTTATTTTGAGCTTCCCGCTTCAAAAACGATACTACTGCACAGGTGAACATTTTGTTAGAGGAGTCGCTCCATCGTCGGCAATATTCATCATGGCCGACGCTTGCGCAGTTCCTCGCGTAATTCGAGGAGAGTTCAAGGTCAATTAAGGCGGGCGAGGAAAATATGAACGTAAAGACGCCGATTGTTATCTGGTTTAATCCTGTTCAGGTGTTATCTCGTCCCATCACACGTGTTTTGGCGGACTGGCGTCGGCCATGATGAGTATTGCCGCCAATGGAACGACTCCTCTAACAAGATTTTCACCTGTACCGTAGTATCGTTTTCGAAGCGGGAAGCTCAAAAAACCGCAAATTTCTTACGCAGATTGTGAAATTATGAGTGCATTTCAGACTTTGCCGATGCGCTCATCGTGATTTTTGAGGCATTATCTGTAAGAAACAACTCTTAGTTTTGCTCTAGCAAAAGTTTGCAACAGGCCCATTGTTTCTTGAAATATGATACAGAGCATAAATAACTGATGGTCTAACTAATCTAATCTAACTGATGCTTGCAAGCTTGTGTGCCTCACTCATGATACTCACACCATCTTGATCTCAACCTCAACACATACAAACACAAAAACAATAGCAAAATATTTACCTTTGATGGTAGACTAGAAGAAAATGGCCGCACAGAGAGTGCAGTCAAGACACATGTTACAGCTGCGGTTCGTAAAGCTTCTGCAGATAAGCCTGCTCGCCATATAAGCTGACACTTTAAAATATCTTTAGAACAAAAAAAAAAACAAATAAAAGAAAATTAAATTTCTGGTAGAAATACCTAAATCAATTTATTTTTGGTATGTTTCCATATGTCCGACCAGAGAGGTGCTTACAACAGATATTCTGCTACATACTTAACAGATAATAAAATTTCACAGCAGTCATCAATTTTTTTCACCCTAAATATAATATTCGACAATAAATTTAAAAAAAAAATTAATTTCAGTAATTTTTAAATAATCAATTCAATAAAAGAAAATGTTGTACATTTAATAATGCCCCATACGAAGAACCATAATTCCAAAACGGTCAAACGTTTTTCTCCTAAAAAATACAGAAGTGGCAGCCTGACTTTTGGGATAATAAAACTAAAAAATGGATGAGACCTTTGTATTTTAATCATTTCTTGGATAAGAAATCAGAGAGGAAGCGTAAAAATGAGATTTGTAAAAATTATACATACCTAGAAGTTTTTCGATAGCTCCTGCCTTGTCCTCAACCTCAGCAAAAGTTTCCTCCCAGTTTGATAAGATGCGAGCGATAATCATCAGAAATTTCAGAACAACTTCTGGGTCATTATCTACACTGAATGCCATCTCTAATATTTCAAGGATTAGGTTGATGAAATTGCCAATTACTGGTCCTAAAAATTAGAGTTAGAATTAAGAAAAAAGAGGTCTCAATAAAAGGAATATTGAAATAAACAAAAGGAAAGATGTCCGGTTGATTTTCAGCAGTTTCGGAATTGTTATTGCAATCCTAGAGAAATGATCCCAAGAGATCATACATAAAATTTTGATTTTATTTTTAAGTAAACACGATCACTTGAAAAATTTTGCCGATTTTTTTCTAATATTTTCTTGGAAGTTAATGTTTTTTATCATTACTTTCTTTTAAGAATTAGATAAATATGGTTTTAGCTCCATGCAATAAACATAAATAAAGGGGAAAGTCACACTTCAGAGACAGTCATGACTAAAAGTATTGAAGGAGAGCAGTGGATGCTTATTTAAGATTTCAATCAAGAAAGAAAATAGATGTGGAAGTTAGATACATACCCGCATGAATGAGAATAGCTTCAAAGATGAACCGTTGAGGACATTGAATGGAGAGTGACTCGACTGAGGTTTTCAGTGATTCCAAAACACACTCAATGTGTTGTTTGTATAAGGCTGCTACATTATCAAATCCACAAATTTCGCTTAGTGAATTGAGCAATTCTATAGGAACAAAAAGAAGGTATTCTTTTTAAAAAGAACTTTTCAGGGGAATATGGTAAGAAGAAAAAAGTCCAGCATAGACTGAACTTTTCACAGGTATACTAATGACAAAAAGAAAACCATCAGGGCTGTGCCTACTATTGAAAACAAGAGGTGATGTGTTTCTTTGTTGAGCCTAAAAACATTTAAAAACCATTAGATACCATACAAGATGGAGTTTTTCGTGGTTTGGGGCCGTCCATGAAATACGGCCCCCCTCAACTCTTCAGAACGCTTTTGTGATGTAAGTCCCTATCTTCCAAATTGTGAAAACAAAATGATGTGACGCTCTCCTCGACCCACCTCCCTCTTTGAGCGTTAGATATTTTATGGACAACTCCTTTGCTCTTTTAAGGAACAGAAGAATGTTTTTTTTTCCAGAGTGTCAATGCCCAATCATTGCTGATGAGACATTAAAACGATAGGATTTACAGATTATTTTAAAAGAGGGCATGCAAACACTTTCGAAAAACTAAGACAAAGCCTTAGCCTTCTGATATGCAAAGTGTTTGGCTTTTATAGAATTCATTTAGAATAAATAAATAAACTTCTTAGGAAAACACTACCATGGCAGGAAGTAAGATAAGATTGGAAACAAAAATGAGTATAAATGAGATTTTGTATACCTAAAGCTTCCTCTCTAATTTCTTCATTTGCAGCAAGGCCTAGAACTGATAAAATTGCAACAAATAGCTGTCTTGAAATAACGCTGCAATTTTTTTCGCAGACATTTAAAATGGATCTGCATGCCTCCAAGAGGTAGAATTGATATAAAGCCTGGAATGAGAAAAAAAGAGGGAAAGTGATGAATGTTCGATTTTAAAACCAAAAGGGAATGTATAAAAAATGGGAATGCAAAAATACGAAAGTTGTCCCAAAAGTTTTGCATCGGTCCACTGTATGAGCCAATAAAAGAAGCAAAAAAGTTGCAGGTTGCAAGGTGTGTATAATGAGCCCAGAGATAGTGGACTGCACAGCAAGTCTACAAAAAACTATTAATCTTTGTTGATTTTTGACAAAATAAGCACAACAATTACTCACTTTGCTGGTCAAAAGTTGATGTAAAGAATACCTTAAATCGTAACTTGCTAGTTTTATTTGCTAGTTCATACAATGGATTGATGCAAAACTTTCAGGAAGATCCTTCTTATGTTTCAGTAGTATAAATGTTGGCTCTACTCATTCCATTCCAAATGCAACAATTCCAAAAAAAATTCCTCGTAACTTCCAGAAAAGGATGGACGAAAATGATAGTTAAGAGGAATCAATTTAAGTGGCTAATCTGAGCTCTTTTTTTTCACCTCCCTGGTTCATAGCTATATTTTTTAAATTAAGCATGATATCGATGGTAAAATGCGGAAAATGCATACCTCAATTTCACTGTTCAAAAATCTCTGATTATGTTTTATATGCTTCAAGAAAAATCAGCCAAAATGTTTACTTGTAGTTTTGTGAAATTTTTTTAGAATGAGTAACGAAAATTTACAGAAAATTTCTATACAAACGAACAGAAACCAAAATTAAAATTGATATTTATAATAATTAGAAAAATCACAATGAAACAAACAAAATTTAAATAAACGTTATGAGCACTCAAAATCTTTTCAATAATAATAACACCACACACACAAGATAATCAAATTACATACCCTGTCATAAATAAGACAACACTGGCAGAGACTTACAACATCGCAATTTGAGATATGCATTTTTCGACTTAGCCATCGGTAATAGGATAAGAATGATTGTAATATGATGCAGAACCTGATGAATTAGATGAGAGAGTAATTCTTTCAAAGGGCTGATTACTGGAAGAGCTACAGCTCAAATCCGTCAAAATGGCAACCAAGTTACTATCCTTTTTTTACAAGTGCCATTTTTTTTTTTTTTTTTTTACTTCCCTTTTTCATAATCTTGCAATTGTACAAATAAAAGTTTGGTGTTTGAAGGATTATTCTTTTAAAGGTTAACTTTTATTCGGGGAATATAATTGACTACATTCCTCTTCATTACCTCCCTGCTGTGACACACGTTGCTACTTGATAGTAAATTGGTGACCTCCTCTATTAAAGGTATCAATGAATCTTTCGGCGAAGTTGAAATTAAAGAAGCTAATAGGCGTAAATGGCCTGCATGATGGCTTTCTTCAAGAAGAGGTAAGACTAATTTACAGTAAGTTTCAGGTGGCACAAAATAGCCCATTGTTTTAGCTGCTCTATCAACCTGAAACAGAGAAAAGTAACATTATAATATGCCTAAAAATTGAAAGATTGCCAGCCAATCTAAAGGTCTAAAGTGGAAAGTGGACACAGGACTGAGGGAAACAAAAAATTTGAGTTCCTCTTAGTAAAAATGGGATTCTAAATATAAGTACTTCAAACTTTCATCAGTCCATCTCTGGACCTGGACTACCAGGGAAATATAAACATTCTTATAAAGTCATTAATATTTTCCTTTTAAAAAATCAATTTTAAGAGAAAATACTGAAAAATAGCGATGAGTTTTGCAGGTTCCGATTCTGTCAATTTTTTCTGGTTCCTTGGCTCACTGATTGTTTTCATACAGTGATGCTGCAAAATTCGCTAGAGTACCAATTTAAATGTGCTGAGATAGGATGGTCCATTCAATTCCACTAGAAATACAGCAAATTTTAAATTTCTTTGAGGGAGAATTTTCTTGAGGTAAGAGGTATATGTTCCATTAAAGGTTCTTTCTAAATTTGAATCTATTGGTATAAAAAGTTTATTTTTTAAAACATTAAATGGATAGTTACTCATTTTTTATTCATTATACATTATTTCATTGAAACAGTTTTTACGGCAGAAAAAGGTCTGCCTTCTTTCAGAAAGTTTAAACTGCAGACAATAGTTTGTGTAAAACAACAGTTGATGTCAAAGATAAATTTTTGACTTCCTATATACACAGGCTGTGTCAAAAGTTGCATGGGTCCATCGTGTGAACCAAAAGCCATCGCTGAGCCCTTGTCAATAAAATTTTGGTAAAAAGTGACCAATTTTTTCGGTGACATGCTGAGCCTGTCCCTGCCAGATTTTAGGACTTTTTTAGGGGGAAAAAACAAAAAAAGTTTTAACAACAGATATGTGTCTTAAAAGAAATGAAAGAATAAGTAGTTTACACACTTTGATGCTCCTCATCTAAAAATTCTGTGCTTCTTCTCAATTTTTGAAAATACTATCCTTCAGCTTTCATACACAAAGAAAAGTCCACATCACAATTCGCGAGTTCCAGACTGTAGCAGAGGGGCAGAAGGATTGTAAACTTAGTTTTTTTTCTAGAAAAATATCTTAAACTCTGGTTGGGGGCCGCCCAACATGTCTCTAAAAAACGCAGTATCTCGGTCAATTCTTAACAAATTGTGCTCAACAAGGGCTCATTTTGTAGGTAGTGAGCTGATCTAGAGAGACCTGAAACCCGCAATTTACTTACTGGCTTTTTTGATTGAGACAAATAGTGGAACAATAAAAAATTTTGGGACAGCCTGAGTAACATTTGTTTTCGCCTAGTTTGACATGCAAAACTTAGGCAGAAGTTGTTTTAATTTTTTGCTAAATAAACATTATACTTTTAAATAAGTTTTTAAAAATCAGGAAGTCGAATCCCAAGAGTTGAATTAGAGGAAAAATAGAGGCATATTATGAAACTTTACATTTTCGGATACTCTTGTATCGGTATCAATGATTGCTCGGTACATTGTAGGAAGTATTTTTTCTAGATGCATGGTTATTGAATGTTCTCCATGTAGAAGTACAACAGCTAGTAACTGAGCAGACTTCACTTTCACATCATCAACCTGCAAAAAAAGAGAATATCGATGGTGAAACTACCATACCACGTATCTCGATTTTTGTCGGTTTTGAGTTAGCTGCATAAATGAGTTGTAGGAGATGTCCTTTATCTGCCACCAAAATATTTTTGTCGAATAAAATCAGGAAGTTATCCAAAACCGTAGTTCAAATATCACATATCTCAGCGCTAATTCGCAATTCACATATCTCGCGTATCTCGCGCCGGCGGGAAGTTATTGCGTACACACGGCGCGCTCTACAGTACGAAGTACCGAGACGGATAAAGAATGGTGGTCGTGTTTCGTACCCTCTTGACATCACACGGCATTGGGTACGTTTCGGGAACATCCTGAATGCATGGCAAAGCATGTCGGCGCAGAGTGGATCGAGTCAATAAGAGAGGTCGGATATTAAATTTTTGACCAAAACTGCAAATTTTGATGTTTATTTTCTCACATTTTAAATCTCAACGGGTGATTTTAGAAGAAAATTTTACGCGGAAACCAATGAAACCACTTATAGATCTTAAAATTTTGGTATAAACGGAGTTATAAGCGTTTAAAGTCCAAATTTTGTCTGACCTCTCCTACTATCTCGATCCACTGTGCCGCAGTGAAACTACCGGACCCCGTATCTCGGTTTGCAACGTCGCAGACGCCCTGTCATACTATATTTTTTAAATGAAAACCTCTCAACATCAATTCTTGAAATCTTCTGTGATTTTTCTTCTTTGAGTGACGAAGAATCTGTGAATACTTCAAGGAATGATATATTGGCTGGTTTTCATTTGCGCAAAAATAAAATGGGAGCATTGAATTTTAAACACCGCAAACAAGATACGTGGTCTGGTAGTTTCACCGTTGATACGCTTTTATTAGAAGGCGACTCATCCACCGGGAAAGGAAATTCACCTTCTTTATTAGAAGTGTTAAGGTATTCAAGAAAGTATGAAGTAGTAGTAGTAGTAGTATCCTACTTCTTGCGGTACGGGTCGTATCAGTCTTTCAATTTTATGCTATGCAACGATTCTGAGTCTGTCATGCCGTTTAATAGTATTGTAATTAATAAAGATACGATGATTGGTCCAGTTGTAGGATCAACAGAAGCTTTCAGTGCATGAGTAGAAGTACACTGTTCAAAATGACTATTCGCTAAGCCTTAAATCGATCAAAATCTTCAAACAAGAGGCTCAATACCTCAATTCAAAATTCACATATCTCGATGTAATAGTGTCAATTCCTACTTCGCAAAACACATAACTCGGTTTTTCCTCCGTATTTCATCACGGTTGCGACTATTTTCAAAAATGCTCAAGGTGTGGTGAAAAGCATCTTATCATCTCTATCTCCAAGAATTATTACCTTTTAATTATCAAAAATAAGGAACGCAGACAGTTTTTTTGCTCTCCTGAAAAATCGAGTTTTCCGAGATACGTGGTATGGTAGTTTCACCATCGATATAGGACAACACAAGATAACATCAATTACAAAGTGAAATATGTCACCGGGATTTGTCCTCAAAGAGACAAAAAAACAATTGATAAACCATTATAATGCCCTCAGTTAGACTTTCTCTTCAATAAAAGTTGCCTCTTTAGGCATTCGTTAGGCATTTGCTCTTGCAAACTGATATTTTTATTATGTTTACGTTACATGAGTACATACTGTTTTTGCTAGACTTTCTCGATATGTAACTTTAAAATATATAGATATGATAGAGCACTTTATCTACAGGAAGATAAAAACTCACCCAATCTTCAAGTTCTTTTGCTATTGCTGGGATGAATTTTGACATCTCGCGTTGAACCAGAACTCTACACCCTAAATGCGGCCTTTCCACTATAATAAGAGAAATTAAAGAAAGAAACGTTTAAAAGAACTTGATTTTTTTTGTAGGTATATCAATGCCAAAAAAAGCTCACTTGGGGTATAGAGAAATACACAATTATGAACTTTTGACAGACATAGAAAGAGCAAACAATGCAGCTGCAATGTTCATTTGTAGTTTCGGAATTTTAGAAGGGTGAAGATGAGAAATTTTTGGCAGTGCACGGGAAATAAATCCTTTGTTTGCCTTTTCAAGATCATTCAATCTCTGGCTAGGTACGTAACCTTTTGAGAAGATTATAGCTTTGACATTGAATGAAGGGGGAATATGAATTTCTTTGTTGCCTCCCGAACAGAATGGGCTTTTAAAATCGAACTTTCTAGGAGCTGACCTCGAGAAAAAAGAGGCTGAAAAGTGAATATTTCGGCACTTCTGCATGCAATATCTACTGAAAATATTGTAACATCTTAGTGGTGGTCAAGGTGATCTATTGTTTCCTCGCAGGCCGGGAAGATAAGACAGATAAAAAGATCAAATTCCTCCAGAAAATGAGAGTGTGCGATGCAGCATCCACACACACATAGCATCAGTCCCAGAACTTTCATTAAAAAAAGCATAATTATATCATATCAAATAATGTCGGAATTTATCCTTGTGCCGAATTTCTTGGTGTTCTGAGCATAGTCCTTTATTTCTTCTACACCAACCATCAACTTATCACTACCAAAGAGAAATGAGAATGTATTATGTAAATGTATTATGGTCAATCTAATTGAAAATAAAAATTAAACTATGAATACATTTTTTTAAAAATTAAGTCTAAAGATGAATGGTTAAACATGAAGGAATAAAGATAAAAGTGGGACTAAAAATAAAAGGTTTGTTATGCATACATTTTTGTGGATAGTGATCCGGTTTTGCTGGTAGATAGTCCAATTTTTCTTGAAGCTCTTTTTCATTTTCTGTGAAATATTGTTGGCCTATCTTATCCCATAACATTGCTGCTTCAATTTGATGTTCGGGAATTTCATCTGAAAGTCTGTGAAACCAAAAAAAAGAAAAAGGTCAAAGACAGAATTGGAAGCATTTAAGCAAAATAAGTCTATTTACAGAGATAGATCATGGCAAAAATACATCTTCTGGATAGATGTGTCTATTTAGTTAATGAATGATTAAATAAAAGACAGGTGAATAAGGTGAACACAGGAAAGGACAGGACAGATGAAGACAGGACGCTGCATTGTTCCCACTTACTTACTCATTTCTCCTTGAAAACAAGAGCCTGATTTTGAGCAGGGCTTCTTAGTCAAGCAAGCGCCAATATTCGTGCACCCCCCCCCCCCCCCCCCGGGGTTAGTTCAAGACTACAGCAATCAAGTCCAAAGTTAAAGAGATTTTTCAAAAGCAAGGGACCTGACCTGACGTAATTTTATCAAGTTTCCACCTGTTCCAAAAACCCCAGGCTATACATTTCTTGAAATGAATCGGTAGGACACACATTGCATTTGATTTTTCTGTGCTTCCCCCATCCTCATTCCAAGAAAACTAACAGGCCCCCAAATAAACAGCATGCAAAAAATGTCTTAAATTACTTACGATGTTAAAATCAGGGGTATTAAAAATCTGAAATATGAGTATCTATCCCGCAAATTCAGCAACCAGTCTCCTACAACAAGTGTGACTGCTTTCCTGACACCAGGTGATTGATCAAATAACCTTTCTGCTAGAGGACCTGCTACGACTTCAACACTCCTGTTATTTCCATTCTTCACGACTAAACCTGAAAAAGAAACATTAATTACTTGATTAAAGTCGAAAGAAGTCCTAGGATAGATGTTCTAAAAATTACCAAAAAAAGAAGATAATATTAATGTTAAATGAACCAATACCTCTGAAATCAGAAGTTCCACATATCTCATTTGCGGTGTCTGAAAATCTCCGCCTCTATGTTACTTTTTTAAAGGAGAAAAAATTGACATCATTCCTTGAAGTTTTTGCGGAATTTAGTTTGTACAGTGAAGAAAAATCATGACAGTTTTAAAGAATTGCCATTGAGTGGTTTTCTGTTTAAAAAATAAAGTGTGACGGGAAGTCTGCGGCGTTGCAAACCAAGTTATGTGATTGCCAACTTACACTGTTGATTTATAATTTACTTACAATAAAATAAAAAATAAACTTTTTAATTGAATCATACAATCATAGGTAAAACTGACACTGAAAGCTGCCGAGCGCACATGGGCTGGGTTGAAAAAAGAAACTGCTGTATTTGGTTAAAGTTTGCACCAGAAACTTTACCATTGAATACAAAAAAAATTAACAAAAACTTACCTATCGCATTTATGGCACTTATTCTCACTTTTGACTGGCGATGTCCCAAAGTCTGTGTGAGAGGAGAGATCAATGATTCCGACTGCATGTGAAAATGTGCCGGAATGACCATGGATAACTCTGAGGCGCACGCACAACTAGCAATTTTAACCTCAGGATATGGGTCAATGATGGACTTGCATAAAATATCAATTATATCACTCAGATAAGCTGGAAGATGGAGTCCATATTTCGAAACTATCAGCCGCAGAAAGTTTATCTCAAGTAACCGCACTTCTTCTGAATTTTCAGCAACCTGCAAGAATCATTACAAGTGAATTGAGTAAGTTTTGTTGATACAAGAAAATCCAATACAGCTCTCTCGAGTGATAGCGAAAAGCTTCATTCAGTGCCCAAGCAAACTTTTCCCAAATTCTTCCAAAAATTCTAAGGTTAAAGCTTGATCACTAAATGATAACATTCACTTGTTTTGCCGCAATGAGACAGATTTACTAAATATAATGACTACCTATCTATTATAACACTTGATGCTTGATCTAGCGAGCAACGAGCAACCAGGCGACTGTAAAAATGTAAAAATATAATTGAATTTATAAGTCTGTTTTTATTTGAAATGTCATTTGCCTCTTTCAGGTTTATTCTGCCCTAAAATTAACAAAAAAGAAATTGAGCAGGAGAGTTTCTGCATCTACAGTGAGAGTAACCATAGTATGATATCACTTTGCAAATTTTCAAACTATATTCTAGACTTCAGTTTAAACGTACACATAATTTCTTCCCATCGCTTTACTGATCAAAATTTATCTTAGATAGTTGATCCAAGAAAGCAGAAAAAATATTTAAGCACCTACTTAAGACACCAGCAAATGTCTTATGAATCTTGTGGCACACAATTTTAACCATATTATCGCCAGTTGATTTTAAAGAAACGTGTTAAAATAGTTCTACAGCACTGATGGAAAAAGAAAACCAAACAATAAGTCTGAGCAAAAGGGGAGGTAATAAATTCAATAAAACTCTGTAAATGTTCATATCAATAATCTGCATGATGACATAGCAAAATAACGACGTACGTCCGCAATTACATATCTCGTTTGCAGTGTCTGAAAATCTCCGCCTCTACTTAGGTATGTTATTTTTTAAAGGAGAACAAATTGAAATCATTCCTTGAAGTTAAAGTAGAATTGTCTTTGCACAGAGAAAAAAAATCACGGTAGTTTTGAAGAATTGCTGTTGAGTAGTTTTCGTTTAAGAAATAAAGTATGGCAGGACATCTCCAACATCGCAAACCGGGTTATGTGGTTGCCGACTTACAACATTGAAATGGCAAGGCTTGGGGTCACACCACACATGACAAGTAACGATACCTCAGCAAGAGGCTCCTTTGGTGCTTTTGGAGTGATTTAAAGGAATCTAAATAATATAATACCTTTTCGTCTCCAAGGCGCTGATGTAAAGTTGGGATAATCACCATGAGGTACTTCTCGTTCACAGGAGATTGTTTTATCAGCGCCTCTGCGAGCAAAACAGATTTTTCACGGCAAACTTCAGCTGAGTCATTGAAACATCTAATAACTGATTTTAGTATCTGTCCTGAGAGATTTTCTAGAGTATCAGCACTGAGAGTGGAGGAGCATACCATTTCACACATTTCTGAGAGCACTGACTTACGCACAAACTTGTTCTGATCCGTAAGGGAATTCAAAAATTTATTCACATGGGTTTCTGTTGTATCGTCACTTGGAGGCATTTTGAAGAGGAATTGCGGCTACAGGATCTGAATAATTAATTGGGATTAGTAGAAAAAGAGATTGATGTTAGGTGATCACAAGCTACTCTTAGAATGAAGAACTTCAATTTAAACATTTATGAAACCTTATTTGGAGTGAGATATTGTTTCGATTCCTTAGAAGTATTTGATCAAATTTGTATTCGTTTGAACGCACAGGATTTTAGAAAGATTACTCAAAATAATTTTAACACAAACTCAAGAGATGTCTTCCGGGCAGGGGCGCAGAGAAAGTTTGGTTAGTTCACATGGTTACGTTTGTTTACATTTACATTGAGCAGTGATGTCGTCAAGTAAGACCAAAATCAAACCAAACCAAAATGTTTGGTTGATCAACGTGAAAAGCAGTGAAAAGTGAAAAGCTAGTGGAAAGAGTGGAAAGCAAACAAGGTGATAAGGTGAAAGTTAGGTGAAAGAGAGGGAGTAAAATGCCGTGTAAGTACTTTTCATCATTTTCAAATGTATTTTAAAATGAAATGACCTTCAACAGAGGAGGGAATGTTGATTCAATTGTTCCAGGTGATAGACGACGCGAAAACACGTGGTACATTCAGTTATTTTTTCGTCTTCACATATTTGCTGAAATCAAAATGAAGATATGTACATACCTACTTTAAACAAACTCTACATCATGCTGAATACGTTATTCCTGAAACCTACATAGAAATCTGCGCTGAATAAATCAAGCAAATAATCATGCTTTGTTTGCTTTTGTTTACAAACTTAACCATGCAATTCATGAATGAGCTATTCCAAACAGAATGGACCAATGAGAGACTAAGGATTCGCCATCGTACGCATCGTAGTACTATGCGTAGTATTTTGTAGTAAGCGTTGCCAGATCGTATGAGCAAAAGACGATCGAAGCTCCGCAGACCGTGCAATGATGAAAGAGCCTCGCCAAGTTTAGCCCCTTTTTTTGTATACCCGAGTTGATCAACCGGACAGTGCTCAAATGAAAGCCTATGGTAAGGCAAACTTCCATGCAAAGTATCAACTTGGAGTGACCCATCGTTTAGGCTGTACAGCGTTGCCAATTTTCCATTTTTATGCGCTATACTCAAGGAATACTGAATCATCAGGGTTCAACAGACTAGTAGGTACACGCGAGTTGGTCAACGGGACAAGGCTCAAACGAAAGCTTATGGTAAGGCAAACTTCCTGGAAAAGTTTCAACTTGAAGTGAAACCTCGTTTAGGCTGTACAGCGTTGCCAATTTTCCATTTTCATGAGGTAATATCGAGGAATTCTGGATCATCATGGTTCAACAGATTAGTACACCCGAGTTGGTCAACGGGACAAGGCTCAAACGAAAGCTTATGGTAAGGCAAACTTCCTGGAAAAGTTTCAACTTGAAGTGAAACCTCGTTTAGGCTGTACAGCGTTGCCAATTTTCCATTTTTATGTGCTAAAATCAAGGAATTCGGGACTAATAGTCCAGTGCATCATAATTAAACAGACTAGTGCATCGGTCCACGAGCTGAATACTACACTGAGATCGAATAGAAGCGCAACTAAAGGGGTTTTCTTTTTTTGATCGGTGGTACCGCCGATCACCAAACTGTGTTCGTTAATTGATCCGTCGGTGCTGACGTCACGACCGGTGGAAGTACGACCGGTGGATTTGGTACCACCGATCAGTGATCGGAGGGGTGCCACACACGGGAGGGATGAGGCGCCCAAAAGTGAGGCTCTGCTGCGCGCGCACGTCGCATGTTTGGATTGTAATTTCGCGGCAGATTCGAACCTAAGGGGCGAGTTCCATAATACATTCTTCTCAAATGCACAGTATTAAAGTAAAAAAAGTCCAGAGTTTTAATCACGATTACTTTAATTAAATTTAACCTCTCGTAAATCCATACGTAAAAAGGGT